TGATCTGGTTTTCACTGTTCAATAAATACACATCAGTCTATCTTGACTAGGTTGGAATCTATGGAGTAGTGAGAGCGCCAAATTACAAAATTTTTTAATTAAATTTTTAAAAAAATCTAATAAAAAATAAATAAAAGGGCCATATTAATCAAAAATAAATCTACAAAAGAAAAGGAAAATAAAAGTAGAAATATAAAGACAAATAAAGAAAAATAATTTTTAAAAAAATAAAATAATCAATTTATTTTTATTATTATTTTTATTTAGTCTTTTTTTTTTTTTTTTTTTTTAAATTTTTTAATTTTTTTTCATTTTTATTTTTATATTTTTCTGTTTTTTTTCACCTGCTTTTAAGTGACTTTAATTAAACCAAAACTACAAATAAAACCTAAATTATTATCAATTCTCTGTGCTCTGCGTTACAAAGTTGACCCACTTTGTTTTGGTGGCTGTCTACACTGACACAGACTCTACACTAATGCGTTATAATGGCCAATAATAACCTAAAATAAATATGGAAGCCATGCGTTTCACTGCCCATATCCGCCCACTGCTGTTTATTCAAGTCACGTTACATCTGGACCAGATAAAACCAACACTGTTTGCTTAACAGCCGTAATAAAACTTGACGACACTTCCTCCACGTGAGGACCAAAACACTGGTTACGTGGAATACAAATATAAAGACGAGAGGGTCTGAAGAGAGTCTGCATGAACAGCCTCAAGAGGGAAACTAGAGGGTGAGTGCTGCAGCGTTCAGTGTTATTACTGGTGATGTAAACTGCCGACCAATGAAAATGCCTTTATTTCTATTTGTTCTTTGTTAAACGGATGAGACTGATTTCTTTTTCACTGCAGATTTGCTGCTCGAGTGCACATAATGACTATAAAGTGGTGTTTGTTTGCAGGCTGGAGCCCGTTTTTGTGTTTTACGAGGTCAAGTTAACCTGCAAAAAAGGAATCAGTTTATTCTGCAAGTTAATGATGGAACTGAACTGATCTCAGAGACTAATAAGGCTCTCATCACTGTGGTTTCTCTGATGTCTTTCAGTGGTTTTGTTTATTTTTTGTGGGGGTTTCTCTATCTGACCAGAGGAGCGTTCATGTTGTCGTTCAACAGAATTAATGTTGTGCATTCATGCTCTGCAAAAAACTGAAGCTCTAACCAGTGATCTAATACAGTCGTGACTCGATAATCCGACACTAAATGTAAAACCTTCTTTTATGTCGGATAGCAAGGCTGTCGGATTGTCAAGACGGAGGTCGAGATACAAGGAGGGCTTGATGCTGGAAGGCTCATTTGTTGTTCTAATAACTAGTGTATTGTTAGAACGCTACGCATCGCTGGATTTCACGCCTGATTGACCGGTGTGATTGTGCACGTTCACAATTCCACCCCGTCGGTGCGCTCTGGCGGGGTGCAATTGAAGATCCTTGAAGACCTCCACCTGTGGAAGTGGCCGGTGTAGTACTGCACATGGACCCCCGGGTTAGGGTTGTTGTTATTCATTACCTGTTGAATTTTGTTGTCTATGTTCATATTTATTTATAGTATTAAAATTATAAGGGGGGTCCACATTCTATGGGGGTCCATTTACAATCTTACACCGGAACACACAGGCAGTACTTGGCTGCTGATGCTAGTTTAGTTAGCGCTCACACTTCTGTTTCCTCCATCGGTGGCGGCGGGGGAGTGGCAGA